GCCTTCATTCAACCTCGCCACTTGGAGTGGGATAGCTCAAAAATAATTAAAATTTAATAAAAACTTTAAAGCCATCTTCATTACAAAAAAAATAAAATAAGTTTGGCATAATTTTTACCCAAAATCCAGCAGTACTAAGAAACAAGAGCATCATGGAGTATGTGAACTAGCTGTGCAACTGATAACCATTAGACAGTGCCAACCTTAGAAGGTTAGAGCTGGAAAAGCAAGAGACTTGACATTAGACTACGGACTAATTTTCCGAGTTACTTGAGAAAGGGCAATGAAAATATTTAACATTGCTAACTTACAGAGATTTTGCAAATAATACCGAGCATGATCCCACAGCACCTGAAACAACAGCATAGGAAAAAGGTAGCAGCATGTGCCAATAGGGTCTAAGATCTTGTCCAGAAAGAGCAAGCAAAAGTTCTCCTCTCCTACACATCTAGATGCAAAGGTTTCTCAGTTTATTTTAGAATGGCTAAAATAATGGCAATTCAGTATTACATTACAACAAAAAAATGTAAGGGGTTCCACACCTCTCACCTATAAAGGGAGTGATGTAATGCAACAACTAATATCAAAATCAAACAATAAAGAAGAAACGTGATGTTGCTGTATTTCTCTACCAATTGTTCTGGGGTATAAACTAAACAGAAGAAAGGAAAGAATAACCAATTATAAACTTGCCAAGTAATTAAAAGCTTTTTTTTTTCTTTTTCTGCCTGCCATTAAAGGTAGGAATAATATATAGCAAAATCAAAGCAAGGTAAAGCTCCGTGAAAAAGAAACAGAGATTGATCATCCAAACTCTATCAGAGATTGACAGACAACTTCTAGGTGTGAGCATTTCATATCTAAAGTTACTGAAAGTCCAGCAATAGTAGATACATCTAGATGTCTACATATCATATTCAATTTTTCAAATCTTGCAATAGCTAAGCACTACCAACCTTGCAAAGCAAAAGAGGAAAAAAATTATCCAGGTCTACCAATTTACCAATCATCCAAACATTGGAAAAATCCATACTCTATCCAACATAGATGCATGCTAAAAAAC